GGAGACCCCCCCACCTCAGCCACCCTCCCCCCCCGGCCACCCCCCATGGAGACGCCCCTGTCACCCCTCACCTCTCTCCCTCTCCCTTCTCCTCCCTCGCCTGCTTCGCCTTCCTGTTTCCGATGCCCACCCAGCCAGGACCCCTCCCTGTTTCCGCTGGGGCTGCCCCTGCCCGCGCCTGATCTAAACTACCGGCCCCCGGGCCTGCTCCCTTCCCTTCCCCTCTTACCCCCATCTGGGCTCCCTCCCCCCAACCCCGCCCCCGGATATGAGCAATTTTAATCAGGCATTCATTCGGGCAACCCAAAAGACGGGGGGACGCGGGGTCCTTCTGTCCCCAGCGTCGCGCTACTGCGGCAGGCGCATGCGCGTTGGGAAAGGCGCGTGGCGAAGTGGACTGCGCATGCGCGACCTAGATCGTGTACTCTGGGTCCGACGGTGCGCATGCGTATAGGTTCTCTCAATGCGTTTCAGCAACGATGCTACGACGAAAGGTCTGCGCATGCGCGATACTGGGAGGCGGGGCACTACAATGATGCGCATGCGCAGGCCGCCAGGACGCTTCCCCAATGAGGCGGGGTGACAATTCAGGGGCAGCAGCAGGTTGCGGGCTCCTGCGGGAGGCGACCCACCATGATATCCCAGGGTGCACCGGGGCACGGAGAGGCCTATTCCCAGCGAGCACAGAGGCATCCACCCCCCACGTTCCCATGATGCACCAGGGAGTGGAGAGCCCCCTATTCCCAGCATGCACTGGGGTCTGGAGAGCCCTAACTTCCCAGCATGCACTGGGGGGTGCAGAGCCCCAACTTCCTAGCATGCACTGGGGTCTGGAGAGCCCTAACTTCCCAGCATGCACTGGGGGGTGCAGAGCCCCAACTTCCCAGCATGCACTGGGGTCTGGAGAGCCCCAACTTCCCAGCATGCACTGGGGGGGGGTGCAGAGCCCTAACTTCCCAGCATGCACTGGGGGGGGGGGTGCAGAGCCCCACATTCCCAGAGTGCACTGGGGTGTTCAGAGCCCCAAATTCCCAGCATGCTCTGGGGCATGGAGATCCCCAACTTCCCAGGGTTTACTGGGGTGTTCAGCGCCTCAAATTCCCATGATGCACCAGGGAGAGGAGTGCCCCATATTCCCAGAATGCACTGGGGTGTTCAGCGCCTCAAATTCCCAGGGTGCAGTGGGACATGCAGGGCTGTGCTGCAGGGTGGAGGTCAGCCAGGGCGCCCCCTTTCCTCTCCCAGGCCGGGCTGGCCCCAGCGTGGCCCTGCGCTGCCAGCAGTGCCCATTCAGCAGCCGCGCTTTCATCAGCAGAGTTTCCCATCAACACAGAGCAAAGGTCCTGTCCGGGTCTCCCTTTTATTTCTGATTGAAGGAAAACAGACAAGAAAGAACTAATACAAAGTCTGCGCTGCGGAGGGCCCAGTGTGTGTGTCCCTGGCTAGAACATCAGCCTCGCTGAGCTCAGCAGGGCGCCCCCTAGGCGGGCAGGTCGCCCGTTATTCTGACAAGTGCGGGACACAGGAAAAAACCATGCAATGCCACAGCTATATAACCACACTCCGCTAATGCAGCAGCAACCCCTGTGTCACAGCCGCCCTGGCTGGAATTCAGCACCACATACACAGCCCCCGAGCCCGCCTCAGAGGGGGCTGCATCTCCGTGCTGGGGGAGGAAACACTCTACAAACAGCCCCTCCCCCTACTCCTTGGCATGGGCTTGGTGCAGCATCCGCTCTGCGTCCTCCGTCATCTCTGCCAGGGCCTGTGTCAGCAGCCTGTAGGTGGCCTCCAGGGAGATCTCGGGCTGCCCCTCGGCCCCGCGGCCCCAGTAGGGCACAAAGTTCCACATTCGGGAGGAGAAGGGCGCTGGCTTAGTTATCTGCTTCAGCACCTGCTCCGGGTCCAGCCGCTTGACCCAGGGGCTCCGGATCTCGGCCTGGAGCAGCCCGGCCGGCTTCCCTGTGGCTTTGGCCACCTGGGCCAAGGACTCCTCGTCCAGGCCCAGCTCGATGGAGAAAGCCGAGATTGTGTCGACGAGGCTGGTGGCCACATCCGGGCCAGGTTTCTCTGCGTAGTACAGGCAGGTATTCAGGGTCTTGCCCCAGACGTCCTTCATCAGCGCCTTGCTCTTCCTCCTCACCAGGCGGCTCAAGGCCACGGGGATGGCCTTCTCCAGTGCCTCCCTCTTCAAGGCTGGGGCATCGCTCTCCAGGGCCGCCCGGAGGGCCGGCAGGTCGTAGGCCTCGCGGAGAAGGCTGGAGACGAGGAAGACCCTGGGGGAGCCCACGCCGTCCTTCTGGAGGGCATCCACACAGCTGCTCCGGATCTCCTCCAAGGGGCCGGGCTCGGGGCCGGGCTCAGAGCCGGGCTGGGCGTCCACATCCACCTTGGTCCTGATGAAGAAGAACCGCTTCCCGGCCGCGCTGATGGCCCGGGCGAGCTGGCTCTGGGCGTGGCGGTAGCGCTCCGAGGCCGTCAGCAGGAAGAAGTCGTAACGGGACAGATCCAGCCGCCCCACGTCCTCCTCCGTTACCCCCACTCCCGGCAAGTCCCACAGATACAGGCCAGGCACGGTGGGGTGGGCGTAAGCTGTGGCTTTCTGGGTGGTGGCCGTCACCCCCGTGGGTGCTGCCTCTGGCTCCCCGCAGCCCACCCCCCTCAGAGCGTTCACCAGCGCCGACTTGCCCGAGCCAGCCTCCCCCAGCACCGCCACGTCCAGCCGGATCTGCGAGGGCTCTTCCAGCGCCGAGCGGATGATGGCAGGCACCCCTGCCAGTCCCCCCGTGGCACAGGCCTGGTACAGCTCTTGGGTCTTCCTCGTGTTCACAGCCCTCAGGTCGTCCAGCTCCCCGTCCTGGGCCCTGCACAGAGAGGACGGGACGGGGGGATTGGAGCCCCTCTGCTGAGCTTTGGGTAGAGAGGAAGCTTGTACCTGGTGTCACTGGAACCCAGGACACTTGGGGTCTGGTCCCAGCTCAGCCACAGACACCCTGTGAGTCACTGCCTCTCTCTGGGCCTCAGTTTCCCCACCTGTATCATGTGGGAGAAGGAGCCTTCTTTTGTCTATGCAGAATGGAAGCTCCACCTCTTAGAGGATGTGGGGCAGGGACTGGGGCTTGGGCGGGGTCTATGCAGCGCCCCACAGCGAAGCCCCTGATCTCGGGCGGGGTCTATGCAGCGCCCGGCACAATGCAGCACTTAGTGTGATGGGGCCCCGCAATACCCAGTGGGGAAGTTTCACTGCAGTTTCTGTTAAAAAGCTGATTTTTCAAAGTGCTGTAAAATTTCCCCCACTCCCCTCCCAGAGCCAGAACCCAGGAGTCCTGGCTCCCGGCCCCCCTGCTCTGACCCACTAGACCCCACTCCCCTCCCAGAGCTGGGAAGAGAACCCAGGAGTCCTGGCTCCCGGCCCCGCTGCTCTGACCCGCTAGACCCCACTCCCCTCCCAGAGCTGGGGAGAGAACCCATGAGTCCTGGCTCATGGCCCCCCCTGCTCTGACCCACTAGACCCCACTCCCCTCCCAGAGCTGGGGAGAGAACCCGGGAGTCCTGGCTCCCGGCCCCGCTCGCTCTGACTCGCTAGACCCCACTCCCCTCCCAGAGCTGGGGAGAGAACCCAGGAGTCCTGGCTCCTAGCCCCGCCCCGCTCACCTCTTCAGCTGGATTAGCTCCTCCTCCAGTTTGTCCTGGAACTGGCTGAACTGGTACCTGTCCGTCTCCAGGGCCGAGACCAGGAAAACCCTGTTGGGCTCCAGCCTGTTCTTGGCCAGCACCTCGGCCACCCCGTTCCGGGCCAGGGCCAGCGCCTCGGCCGAGCTGTACCGGGCCTGGAACCGCCGCTTGGCCGTGTGCAAGTCCAGGTCCACCTTGGTGCGCACCACGTAGTAGGGCTTCCGCTTCTGCTGGAAGGCCTTGAGGAGCTGCAGGTGGGGATCTGCCGGGCTTCCCTCGGCCACCACCAGCAGCAGGCAGGTGAACTTCCCCAGGTCCCCCAGCCGCTTCGTGTAGTCGCCCGGCTTCTCCGGCTCCTGGAAGCCCGGGAGATCCCACAGTGCCAGGTTGGGGTAGGTGGGGTGGGTGTAGCCGGCCGGCTGCCCCGGGGGTTCCGGCGCCTGCTGGAAGAAGGCCTGGGCGTTGTCCAGGCCGGGGCGTTCTCCCACGAGGGCGTGGATCAGCGTGGTGACCCCGGCGCCCCGGCGGCCCACCACAGCCACGTCGACCTTCAGGGTGTTGACCGAATCCACCAGGGCCTGGAGGCGGGCGGCGGCCGTGACGGGGTCGTGGGCTTCGTAGCGGGTCCGCAGCTTCCGGAGGAAAGCGTCATCCAAGCCCGCCGGGGCTGCCATGGCCACCGCTGCGAGGGGAAGAAAGCTGGAGTCAGGACTCCTGGGTTCTCTCCCCGGCTCGGGGAGGGGAGTGTGGGCTGGTGGTTAGAGCCGGGGCCAGGATGCCTGGGTTCTCTGGGGGGGCTGGGAGCCAGGTAGGGTGACCAGACGTCCTGATATTTCGGGGTGTCCCGAAATTGTCCCGATATCCGCCGGCAGCGCTTTTTTTTTTGCTCCCCCCCCCATGTGTCCCGATTTTTTCTTTCCCTCATCTGGTCACCCTAGAGCCAGGACGCCTGGGTTCTCGGGGGGAGACGGGGGTCAGGACGCCTGGGCTCTCGGGGGGAGACGGGGGTCAGGACGCCTGGGTTCTCGGGGGGAGACGGGGGTCAGGACGCCTGGGTTCTCGGGGGTGGTGGTTGGGGGGGCAGGATGCCTGGGTTTTCGGGGACGGGGCTGGGAGCCAGGACGCCTGGGTTCTTGGGGGGGGGGGGCTGGGAGCCAGGACGCCTGGGTTCTTGGGGGGGGCTGGGAGCCG